TGTGCCTCCAGGACTTTAATGGAGTGCTGCCTATGCACAGCAAGGAGGTTCCCTGGGTGGAAACACTCTAATACAGGACTCCTTAACTGATGATAATTTTTAAAGAGATGAGTACAACAGTTGCTGCTCATCTAGATCATAGAAATAACTCGAGGGAATATGTTCACCAAAGTGCACTGTTCTCTGAAATGCTTGCTGACAGGTTACCTGTGCTTATTTGCTCCAAAAGCAGTGTCTTTTTCTCTAAGCCAAATGGAAAATTAGATTTTCTTCTTATTTAAGTGTATGAAGAGTAACTGCGAAAATTGTGTGGGTTACACAAATGTTAAGTGTCACCAGTGGAAAATCAGGCCCAGTGCTTTTTCTGTGCATTTGGCCAAAGGAAGGGGCATTTCCATTTTCTGTTGGTGATTGAGTTCCCCTGTGATCTTGTCCGATATACAGAAACACTGAAACAGCATCAAGAGTATGGTTTTTCTTGTGCCCTGCCACACAGAAAAATCAGGCAAAGTTCCCCATCTGTGTGTGTCTCCTCCCTTTGCCAGTCCTTTCAGACGTGGGCTCTCTGGGGCAGGAGCTGTCGGTCCTGCGCTGGAGCCTGCGGGCACTGCTGGGACAGAGCGAGCAGCTTTCCTTCCGCTCCTGTTGGGGTGCGACTGAGGCTGAGCTGGAAGGCTGGTGCGGGGGGGTGGCTGCTGTGCTTTTCTGGGTGAACCCAGTGAAGCAGACCGATTGCACGAGGAGTCCTGCATCGCTCTGGCTGGCACCGAGTGTGGCTGGATACGTCAGAACCCCCCGAGCTGCTCAGCTCTAAGGCCTCTCTGCATCTGCAGCACCAGTCGCCAGGGAGCTGAGGTTACTACGTTGGAGGATATGAATTGCATTAGAAGGTCAGTCCCTGGGGCTTTAGGAGCGATAGCAGAATAAATACTTACAACTGGCTTTCATGTTGCATGGCATGGGACTTGTTCCTCCTTGCAGATGACTTCAGTGCTGCTTGGACGTGCCTGCTGTTCTGTGCCTGCTCCTAAAGCCTTGATTTGACAGTAGCCTCTGGCCTGTTGCGGGCCAGCAGCTCTGCATGGCAGCAGGCCCACCAGTCTTCCTGCAGAGAGTTAAAGGAGTTCTGGAGAAATTGAGTGATTCAAAAATTTACTACTCTCTTCTCTGGCAGTTCCCTGGCTTTGAAGTGTCCCTCGTCTCTGGCACAGCTGGGGAGCAAAGCAGCACTGGTTTTACTGTCTTTGAAATGCTTGGGCCTGCTGATGTTAGGTTTTTGGGGAATTGCAGGTGTGGGAGAAGCATCACTATCAGGTGAACTGGAGGGGTAGTACTTTGACATCTTGGCATACAGGGCAGGTTGAGTACAAGGAACAAGATTAACGGAAAGAAGATCCTCTTAATCTGGGCAATAGCCGCAAGCCTCCTGCTGCCTGCTTGTAAGGGGTAGGTTGTTAGCTGTAAGGCAAAGAGCAGCATGCTTAGCGCTTTGAGGTGTTGACAAGCTGATACGGCCCAGAAAAACTGCTGAGAGCTTGGTCATGGCCAACACAAGGTACACTTCTAAGAACTGAAAAAAACCTGTTATCCAGTGTGTCACCCTTGAAGACCACACGTGGCATACATGCTGAAACCTAAAACTCTCGCTTTCTGCCTCCCCAGCAGCTTCATACATGCATTCAGCTTCTCCTTAGTGTGAGCCACAGGGTGAGAATCAGTGCAGCAAGGGGTTGGGGGAGCTTTGGGGTTCCCTAGGCCAGCTGGTTGTGCAGCAGTCCTGTTCCTGTGCCTTTTGACCTGAGAAGCTCTGGAGCACCTGGGTAGTGGTGCTGGGCAGAGCGGAGGGGGGCAGCAGGCACACTGCTGAGGTGTATCCATCCCTGGCAAGCCCAAGAGCCCACTGTGGGATGTGGAGGCAATATTGTGGGTCAGAGAGCGTGGGGCTGAGTTAGGTGAGCGAATGTGAGAGCACGCTCGCTGTACGGCTTGCTAAGCAGCGAGCCAGAAAGGATTTTTCTGTTTGTGGCTTGAGGGATGCAGTGAGGCGTGATGGATCATGTAGAGAAGAATCTGGTTGGGCTGTGGGTAATTGTACAATATATCCAGAGTTTGCAATTTATCCCAGACCAGCCTGCAGATGTTCTGGTGTTCTACAGTAGTGCTCACAAGCACCTGATAATCACTGTGCTGGGCACCTGACTTACTGCCCAGAGCACTGACAGTTTGTCCCCTCGTGTTTGTCATACACACCTGCAGATTTAATACTTTTTTTTTTTTTTTTGAGAATACAGCACTTTCCTGTTCTGTGAAACAATGCTTCTCTTTTGCCATTCTCATGGAGATGTGGTGTGATGATATCACTTCCTAGCAAGGGGCTGGTGAATCACTTTGTTGGTGTTCATGAATCACTTCTTTGCTACCAGTTTCTGCATTGGTCTTAATATAATTTCCAAAAGCAAAAATCATCATTTCAGAGACTTTTACTTTTTGTTAAACAGATAACACTGGAATTATCTCGTGGCATACCATACCGGACACAAGCTCCCAGCATGCCGCAGAAGAGCTCTCCCAAATCTGTTCGTGTAGCTGCAGGTATGGACACCTATCCTGTTGATCCCTCCCTGGCAGTGAAGAGCTTGCTCGCAGCCGGGCTGGGAGAGAGAGAGCATGTGTTGGTCTCACAGGCTCTGGTGGGTAGTCCGATAACTTAGCTTAAAGTTTAAAGCTCTGCTATGGGTCTGATAACCTGTTGCATGGGAGCAGAAGTGCTCTGAGCTGTCTTGGCCAGGTCTGCAAAGGCTCTTCTGCTAGTTCTGCACCTCAAGTGGTGAAAAGAAGGCAGGAAGCAGGAGTAAGTTGGGCCCTCAGAATTTCCTTGTCCAAGGGGAGAACAGATGGCAGGCTGTGTGGTTGTACCGAGGTGATGTCAAAGGTCTTCGACATGCATTTTCTTGCGCATTGGCACAGGGCTTTTTCCTGGGGAAAAAGGAGTTCCACATGGTGTGAATATGATCTCGTGAGGGTAAAGAAACTTGTGGTTTATTCTTGGCAAAGCCTGAAGCTGCTTTAAAGTTGTCTGTATGACAGCAGTAATCTTCTGGCAATCACAGGGTCAGAGAATTGCATGAGAAGAACAGAGGTGCCTTTGCACATGGCGTTGTTTGATGGGGCAAGCATCCCTCCATCACAAAATCCAACCCCTTTCTCCAACCAAGCACAACACGTGCTCTGACAAGCCTGCTGCTGCCCTTGGAGAGTATCTCCCTATTGTTTTGTCCTGACCATTACGTCTTTCCTTTTCTCTGTGATACATTGCATGTTGCCAGCTGGTATTTGTAACACATTCAGTAGAATTTTAAAATGAAACTTCTTAGGAGGAGGTCAGCGTGCCGTGCAGGACACGGCCCGTGTGTGGGCAGCATCTGACAGATTCCTGTCACTGATACCCAACAGGCTTGTCAGAAATGACAGCACCTGCCAGTGGACTGCACTAACACAGTGATACCAGCCAAAATGGAAGCGTTAATGGTATTGTTTGCCCCACGTGTTCATATTCATAGTCCCTCCCCACTATGAGAGGCGCAGTGTAAATGTCTGGATGGATGGTTATGTGTGTTAGGATAATGATACCAGATACCATTAAGTTCTGAGCAGCCATTGTGTAATTGTCGTTGTAGAAAAGCAGCATAGAAGATTGCTTAAGAGTTTTTTAGTTATCAGTGACTTTTCTACACATAGGCAGGTAAGGAGGGAACCTGTCTAAAAGATTTCTCATTCCAGAATTAGTGCCAAGGATCAAATCTTCCTGATCCATTGCTGGGAAGCTCTGTTCTCACATTTATGGTGTGCCTGCACACTGGAGATTTTTCTGTTTAATTTATCTCTTGTGATGGCTGGAATCACTTGAAATCTGTTTTTTATATTGACAGGATATTTGACTTTTTTCTGCCTATGTTCCAGCCATTACTATGTTTCATGTATGTTATAGCGCTCTGCAGCGGAATGCTGTTCGGTGCCCAGTAGGGATTCTCAAAATAGTCATTGCTTCAGCCTCTCTCTAAGCTTGTCTGCAGTCCAAGCTGCTTAATTTTCCATGTGGTCCACTGTCAGCCTCCCATTGTAAATTATCTGACCTTGTAACCCACAGCCTAATTCTTCTGACTCTCTTCAGTGGAACTACTGACCACTGAGTTTAGCAAATCAGGTTGGTGTTAAGAGAATACCTGTGAGAATTTTCATGTTGCATGATTTGTACTTATTTTGTAAGTTTGGTAAGGCTGTTTGCTTCCCTGCTGCCCTGATCTCAAGTGCGTGCCCTTGGAAGTCGGTTGATTTGGATGTCACTTTTTTTTCATTCGCAGTCCCTGGAGGATTGTAATTGCAGCGTTGCCTTGTGACTGCACTGAATTAAGAGTCGGAGCCCAGCTGAAATTCCCAGACCAAAGGATATGATGGCTACTAGTAACGTTGGTGCCTTAGACCAAAGGATATGATGGCTGCTACTAACCTTGGTGCTTTTTTAATGCTTTTTTTCTAAATAATATCTTTTTGCATAGTATGTGGTGAATGGTTTTGGAAAAAAAAATATTTCCTAGGTACTATTAAAATTTAAGAAAACAGGGGGTCCTCTTCCCCCTTATGTGCACACCTTCTCCTTCCATATGCTTTAGTGTTGTAAACTGATCATCTCCACTGTTATGGGAAAACATTTAAATAGCACACCATTTTATAGACAAAGGAAGGAAAAATGACTGAAAGATGACTGACATCATCTACCTAGACTTGTGCAAAGCATTTGACACTGTCCCACATGACATCCTTGACTCTAAATTGGAGAGACGTGGATTTGATGGATGGACCACTCGGTGGATAAGGAATTGCCTGGATGGTCGCACTCAGAGTTGGGGTCAATGGCTCAAAGTCCCAGTGGGGAGCAGTGAGGAGTGCTGTTCCTCAGGGGTGGGTGTTGGGACCGGCGCTGTTTAACGTTTTTATTGGTGACACGGACAGTGGGATTGAGTGGGATTGACACCGAGCTGTGTGGTGGGGTCATGTATTTTCAGTATGTCTTGGTAATGTGTGTGAATCCACAGAACATACCTGAAATTTGATCTGTGTTCTAAGGTTTGCTCTTGTTCCACTTGTGACTTTTCCTCCCTCTTCCCAATCGTTGTTGCAAAAATATCAGAGGAACCACAACTGAGCATTTCTCCTGTTCCCACCTGTGCTTTGGGATGCAAAAGGAAAACATTAGCACACAGAGACCTTGACTTCCTCTTGGATGCATCTGGACGATTTTATTAGGAAGTCCACTGTGCCTGTGAGCAGTCTGAGAGCAGCTGATGATGAGCATCGCCAAGATATGGTACTGGGCTGCTGTTCAATTTTGTGTCTTTCAGAAGACTTGAAAAATTAGATTTGTGAAACATCACTCTCACAAATCACAGCCTCACCATGAGGACATTAGGGCAGCCACGACTGTACAAAGTATCTTCACCAGCAATCTTTCACCTCCTGACAAATCTTTTCTTCTTGAAGGTAACTGTGGGTGGTCTTCCTTTGTCTCATTTCTGTAAATTTGGTACATCACTTTCTAGTTATGCAGCTGATACTTGTGTTTATATGAATGGCTATTTAAAAAAGGAAAGATCAGATGTTTGTTGTTTCATTTCAACATAAATCAAACTTTGTACTCACATAGCAATTCTAGTTTGGCCCCAGGAATAGCTTTAGTATTGCTAAGTGTCTGGAGAGTATTGACTATAGAGACATGATTTTAAGCAGGCTATAATAGTTTCTACAGCTGTTAACAGTTCGTAGAAGAAAGGCAGTATTATTCATCGGTGTTTAAAATGTGCATGACTTGCATTGCACAGAAGTCAGATTGGGAGAATGTCAGATTTTTTTTTTTCTGAAATTCTGCCAGGAAAGTCTTCAATAACTGGAGAAATTCTTTTCACTGGTGAAATCAACATGCAGCACATTGTGTTATTATAATTGCTTATAGCTCACCATGAAAGTTGTCTTTGTATGCGTGGATGTACGGCTTGTACTGTTTTGTTTTTATTTATTCTGCATTCTTTATTATAAATGTTCTTTCCTTTTTTCCAGACCAGAAAGATTGTTATTGAGCCTTCCACAAAGCTGAAATAATGCTGTGTGTTAAAAAAATGTTAACAATTTGAAGAAGTTATAAAAATTTATAAGTTGACTGAATACTTTGGAAATTTCTGCATATTTTAATATAAATAGGTAATGCAAATGTTTGTTCTTTGCATTTAGAGGTGGGTCTCTGTTTTCTAAAGGTCTTGTATATAAATTTGAATCTTACAATTACACTAGAACAAAACCAGTATTTTTTCAGATTGTATAATAGGAAAAAATTGTATTCGCAAAGGACACAGAACATACATGTTTATCTCTGAATGTCATATAGTCATGAAATTTGACATAAATACTATCAGTTGTTTGAATGACTTCATTAAGTGCATTTAGGTGACTGCCTGTTGCAGTCAGCTGAGATCCTTCCATTCAGTTCCGCGGATCCTGGGTTGGCCCACAAAGAAAAAGACCATGCTGCAGCTAACTGAGAAACAAGAGGAGATAAATTTCTCTATGGATAGTGTGATGCTCCAGATTTCACTGGTAGAGCTTGAATAGAAATTCAGTGACATAAAATCACAAAAATCATAAAAGACAAAGGAGTTATTTCAGATTAATTTGGTATTAGCGATGGGTTTGAGCTTTAACCATAACTAAAATCATAAAACAGAGCAAAAGAGTCCAAAAGAAAGAAAGGAAGAGTAGAAATAGGTGAAAGGGAAGAAGTGAGTGACAGAATACTGGCAGGGGAGCAAGGACTTAAATTATGACAGACAGTTTTAACAAAGACTAGTCCAAAATGATAACAGTTGTTATGATCCACTGGAGGTGCTGGTTGGGTAAATAGCTGACAGGCATCAAGCTGCTTTTTTTGGAGAGTGGAGGGGAGCAATGTAAGTTTTGGGTGGTTGTTCAGAGTAGAAAGGGTTTGTTAATTTTTCCCTGAAGGAGAATGAATGAAACTCCAAGGCGATTTCTCCACAAGCAAATATAGCAGCAACTAGGAGTGGACCTGGAGAGCTGCAGCCCTGCATGCTGTGCGCAGCTGGGGTCTTTGCCTGTGCTGCCTGGGTCTGTCTTCCAGCTCACTATCATCTGGAAGGAATCCAGTCTGTGCTCAGGCACTCCTCCAGGATGCAAAACACAGTAAGTCGGGCGCTTGAGGGGCTGACTTCCAAGGCACCCTGCTGCTCCAAACTTCAACACTAACATAGATGCACCCTGACATACTTGGGGGTGGGAGTGGTGACATGGGACGGGGCAGAGGGGATACTCAGCACGCACTAGTTTGTGTTACAGGTGCGGGCAGCATGTGGAGCTGAGAGCAGTGAAAGCCCAAAGGCATACAGCACCTGAAAAGGTCACCAGGAGCTGCAGTGCAGGGTAAGTCCTCCAGGAAAGAGAAAAGGAGAATGATGCAAGGCTGTATAGGTGTGTTAAAAAATTTAAAAAGATGCAGTTTCCCTAATATACATCTTAAAAGGAGGATTGTGGGATGGTTTTCTCCAGTGAAACAGTATTACCCAGTGAATAAGTTCCCTCCAGAAGGGACAAAAATGCCTTTTATTAGATATATGCAAGGTGTCAGTGAAGTTAGCTAGAGCTCTGCATTGTCTGGCTTCTCCTCAGGATAAAGAACTCTTTGGGAAAGTTGGTGCCTATCCTAAGTTTACCATAATTTAGTATTTCAGGATGGATTCCCTCCTGACATATTGCCCATGAAATTTTCATAGGGCTAGAAGCACTTTGTAACACCAACTCCATTAAGAAGTGTGCAAAACTAATGCACGAGAGTCCCAGATTTTTGATGTGGAGTCTTTATAGATCTTCTCAAGACATCCTGGAACAGGCTTTGCTGTGTTGAAAGGCTTCCTTGGTCTTTGGGGCCAGTGCTATGAAATAACATTGCTGCTCAGCTGGCGGTGTGCTCTGTAGAAAGCTGCTTATCATTTTCAAAGGCTGTTTTCCAAATGAAATCACTATGGTAAATGAACCCTTTAAAACTTATACTCGCAAAAACTGAATTCAGTTCAGGAAATGGTGTTGATTTTGTCTTTTGTGAGTCACTTCCACTGTAACATTCTCTGGAATCATTCATTTTTGAGTGTTAAAAATGACTCGTTGGTAATATGGAGTTATAGATTTGGAGGTATTTCCACGTTCCCTGTCAGTGTGCCACTTTGTACTGTATTTATTCTCACAGAGCCTGTTATATAAAAGTACCATTTTACAGAGCAGAGGCACAGAGAGAATAAACGATGTAGATAAGTCTGTGTAAGGAGATACGTTACAGAACTGATCTTGGGTTTCCTCAGCTGATGGTGTTTAGGCACTGGACTAGCTCTCTTCTTGTTCTGAGTACAGTTATATTCCTTTCTCACCACGGCTCTTGGTCATCCCATCCAGCACAGCCAAAAAGGCTGCCCTGGATGCAGTGATCTGGTGAGTCTGAACGTTATCAGAGAGCTGATAGGATTCTTATTTCTGGTGACAGGATTATGTCAAATAATGTGATTGATTAGCTGAGACAAATGTGTTTAGTACCTAAGTATAGCATGTCTATGTATGCCAGTACTTTGAAAACAAGGGAAGCAAAAAATGTATGGACAAATAGGTTATTGTCAAAAGCTGTTATCCTTGCTACAAGCAATGGGCATACACAACAGTTTGGCTTTTGAACTTTGAGAAAATGATTTGCTAATAAGATTTTGGCTTATGAAAGACGATGAAATGCATGAGCAGAACACAAACATCTTTACTAGATCTTGTCAGCAGTTGTGAAGATGAATTTTAACAGTGTTAGGATTTTCCAGGCCTCTTTCAAGATGACTGTGTTGCCTTGCTAAAGACGCTGATTGTTGTACGTCTTTGTCCAAGAACAGTTGGCTTAATTGCTTCTGAGCAATATTTCCTTGGAAGCTCTCGGAATACAAAAGGCAATCCAGAGAAGTCTGAACGAATCTCTACTTAGAAACTGGCCGTGTTCAATCTGTAAAGTATGTAGATTTTTTTTTGAATTTTTTTTCCTGGGGAAAGGCAGAAGAGGGCAATAGGTGCAGGATGTGGAGGGAAGAAGCAGTGCCATGACCCTACAGCATTTCTGCATGTTGAGTCAGGGAGTGACATTTAAACAAGTCTCACTGCACCCAATATGAAAAACTGCGATGCAGATTAAATTGTACTCAAAGAGAGATGAAGAAGAAAAAGGTCAAGGCATCTATCGATAAGTAGCCTTTCCTGTGTTTCCAATGTTGGGAGAGCTTACCAGCAAGCCAAATGGGTCTTTAATGCCTTTAAAAATTTTTTTTTCTTTTACTTTTTTTTTTTTTTTTTTTTTTTTTTTTTTTTTTTTTTTTTTTTTTTTTTGAAGGGAATGAATGGCTCCGGACTTTCCATCTTTAGAGCTGGTGGTTTCCACACCACAGTGATTCAGCCAGTATGAACTCTTGACCAAATCCCAGTTTGTTTCCTGGTTTTGTTTTTCTAAAATATTTTGCATTTAGCAGGGCATAAAGGCCTCCCTACTACGTGACGGTGTACGAAGGAGAGCCGTGCTCTTTTTACTGGCTAGCTCTCAAAGGACTGCTCTCAGGGCTTCTGAAAACATGAAGCAATTGGAAAGGAATCACTGAATTTTGTCTAAAACTAAGACCGAATTCTTACATGCTCCTGGCTTTTTGATGCTGTGTGTTTATGTGGAATTTCTTTTGAGGTTTAATAAGGTCTGATTTTTATTTGAGAAAACACGCCCTGCCTGAAATGTTCTAAGGTTTAATCAGTGTGTTATTGCCATAGGAAACTCATATACATTTGTTTAGTTGCTAGATAAATGGATTAGTATTGACAGTGAATTCAGAGCATAGTAGGTTGTTAAATTAATGTGAAGGGCCTTGTTCCTTTGCCTTGCTGGATGTTTTTTGATGACTGAATTCTCTGGGGTGCCTTTTTTAGGGAATATGCTGGTGGTTGTCCATGTTATTGTGTAAGTGGTAGGCTCAGCAAAGTCTTAGAGTAGCTTGGTTTTGGAGTTCTAAACACCAAGAGAGAGAGATGCTAGACAGGAAATCTATAGCCTGCAAAAGCTACAAATGAAAGAAACTATACCCTGAAAATTAAAAACATAAAATGTTCTTTCAGAAGCTCATACATTTATATAGATACATTATCCCAAATGATACATCATATGAGTAACCAAAATATTGCTGTAATAGATTTGAGACCTAAGATGGAAATGTGTTAACAGTTTACCTCTGTGAAAATACAGCATTACTCCCTTCACACCCTGTGTCTTCATGTTGTTCAGCAGAGAGAAATATTGGTACGTACAGGTTTATTTGAGTCCTTTTCATGAAGTGACCCCCATTGTCTGCTTTTTTTTTTTTTTTACACAACTCTCATTTCTCCATAATTTTCTCCCCGTACTCCAGTAAATCATTGTCTCGGATTCTGCATGGGTTGCCTGAGGCTGTTGGCTGAGGTGAACTTGTTGCATGGGGCCATCACCCTTCTTTTCAAATACCAGTATTTTTTAATACAGGGCATCATAAATGCAGGACATAGATGTATGGGTGTACTAATAACATTACAGCTGATTAACAAATATTCAGATCACCAAGTGTTCAGAAACTGTGGGTTGTCTTTGCAGTGGAAGTTCAGCCTTGTTTTGCATATGTGTAACGAGACAAGGTTTCAAAACATGATCAAGTAGGGTGTTTTTGTTACTTTCTGGTACAGCCTTTGGGTAGCAATAAGGAGGGAGCTGGTGCAGCCATTTCTACATGCGTTGTGACTTGAAGAGTGGCTCTCTGTCCACCTCCACACGACACTAATACTGTGTCACCTTGGCCGTGCTTGAGGTTGAGTCTGCTCACAGTGGACATTCTGCATGTGGAGCCCGTAGGGGGGCAGGTGAGCATCCTTGCTGCTGCTGCGGCTTTGGAATCGTTGATGATAGATTGCATTGCTGAGATCAGTGATATACGATCGATGTAATATCCATAATAATTTCTGAGACCTCAGATTTTCACATTTCAGAATGTAAACCAGCTTTTTGCACTCCACTTTCTAATGTGACTGGCCCAGTTTGATTGTCTTCTTCTGGAGTGGGAAGGAAGTGCTGTACCATATGTGGAGGATACTATATAGTATCCTATATTCAAAGATATAGATTTCTTCCTGAACAGGGCAAGATGAAAAGGAAAGAGAAATTATTTCAGCTAAGTGAATAATTCACAAAGAATAATATTTCCAGATCCAACTTGCTCTTCTGCTTGCGTCACATCGATGATGTAATTGCTGTCCTCTGGTATTTATGTACCTTTCAAAATTTCCGTTACTTTTTTAACTCCGTGGATTGATGTGGGACAGTGTTCTGTGAGATATCGTTAATCATGGTGTTGGCTTGGTGGGGTTTGGGTACTCTTATTGTATTGTTGGTGCTTTCTGTTTGGATGAAAGTACAGACACTTCCAAAATAAATGCTCCTGAGCTAATATAAACTTCAGTTTTCCTGAAGACTGTTCAGTGAAGCTCAGACACTGGCTTTCTTTAAGTGCATTTGCTGGTACAACTCAATTGCACAAATGTTTGCAGATGGTACAAAGAAAAAGGGTGCAAAGAAAGCTAGAGGTAGGGGAATGGAGGAAACAGTCTGTAGCATAGACTGTAGCTCTTAAAGGGTGCAGAGCTCTTTCTGTGCTCAGAGGTGCTTATTGTGCAGAATCTTTGTACTCATCACAGATGAAAATTACACTTAGACAAGTGCCAGAAGAGTCACTGCTCTGTGACCTGCGTGTCTCAGATAGCTTTTTCAGTCTTGTACCTGTTAGCAAGTGGTTCCTGTTCTTCAGACCGCTGTTACCTGCTCCAGCAGGTAAGGATGGCGTGGAATACTGTAGTGTATGAGATGACTGTTCACTATGACTGCTTCCTTCTGCTGATATCAAAAGACATTTTACGCTTTTTGCTTCCCTCATTGATCTTAGGGCTCAAACTTCCGAGTGTTAACTGACTTTGTTTTTCATGCTGTGCAGAATCGGGGATTTCATCGAAAGAGTGTGTTGCAAACTGCTTTTGAGAAACCTGATGTTTGTGTCAGGTGATAGATGATATTACTAAATTGACTTGTTGAAAGGATCCTGCGGGGTACAGTGCTGTCACTGTGTTCGAGTGGTGTGGCCACAGGTGGGACTCAGTTGACACTGGTGCAGCGAGTGCCTGAGCCGGCACAGCAGAACACCACAGGCAGCTGTTAAAACCCTGCAAGGTCCCAGGTTAACCAAGGTGTAAATGCTTTGCTCTACTACAGCCTCACTGTGGCTCCCAGGGAAACAGCACAGGCCTCGTGTGCTTCAAGCTGCTCAGCCTAGTCTGTTGAAAACCAAACTGCCCAGCCTGAGGAGGGTCCTGTCATCATATTAGCTGCTTCCTCTGTCTCCCATTCCTCTGGCCTCCCATTTGGGTGCGTGTAAAAGCATCTTTCAGTCAAGAAAGGGTGAGTAATCTTGTCCAGCTTCTTGGCATTTGTCTGCATAGAGTTAACCTTACCTTTCTGAAGGAGGTCATCCATCAACTCGGGGATCCAGTGCTTTAGGGAATGGGTGAGGCACGACTGGACAGGACATGGTTAGCTTGGTTCAGAGGCAAGGAACTGGTAGGAGACACCTTTGCACCAGGACAGTTTTACTGCTCCCCCTGAGGGTCAGGGGAAAGGAGTTAAGAAGAACACAGATCTTCAGATGTGGAACTGAAACAGGGAAGGGAAGAGCCAGGGGTCAAGGTGTGGGAATCTGTCATGAAGCTAGGACAGAGCCAGAGGTTTCAAAAGTGTTTCTTGAAGTGGAGGGATGTTGAGAGAGATGACTGGAAGGGCCTTTGGGAGTCAGTGGAGGAAAGAAGGGCACCATGCATTTGCAGGACTACAGTACAGTATATGCTATCTGGTACCCACTTGTCCCTGCAAGGAATAGAGAGATTCTTGTGTAGGTCTGCAGTTTTGAAAACATCTATTTATTTTGTCTGCCTCCATGATTAGGAGGCCAATTTAGGGCTTATCTATGTGGGGAAATCCCTGCAAAATAGGCTAGGGTATGAATTTACAGCCTACTTAAAGACCCAGCAGTAAATGCAGTGTAAATTCACACTTCAGCTTACTTCACAGGAACTCCCCCGCAGAAACAAACCCTCAGAGTCACCTCTGTACCTCAGTCTGGTGCTAAAAGTGAGTGGAAGCTTCTCAAAATGTGGGCCTCCAATTCCATTTTTATATCTGGGTTTTTCTGTCTTCTGGGGCTTTTGGCAGCTCTTCTAAATCACTGTCACTTTGCTGAGGTTGGGGAAGCTGGGCCGCTTTACACTGCTCAGGATCTGACCCTCTGCCTCAAGTAACCTTTTATTGTTAATTGGCCAGAGGGTATTTTCCTTTTTACTGGCTTTGTTATTAAGCTTGTTCATTCACTCCCACCACTGCTGATGTCTTTTTTTTTTTTTTTTTCCCTGTGAATTTTGTGTTGTGTCTTTCCTCCCATGTAATTTCCTAATACTGAACTAGTGACAGAGTGGGCTGCTGGTATTTCATCTTGTGGCTGAAGAGGTCAGGCTGTTTCTGATACAGACAAACACTCCATTACAGTAAACTCACAGAAAGTTTCCTTTTCAACCTGAAAGGAGAAGGAAATGAACTCTCCACCAATGGGCTTTCAAGAATTATTTCTGTGAGCTGAACTTACACTAAAGGCCAGTTTGGTAATGTTCTGTATAGAGGAAGGAAAAAAAAAAAAAAGAGGAAGACTTACTATTTCTTCTTTCTCTTTGGTGAGATTTGGCTCAAGTCTTGGCTTCTTATCAGATTAGAGTCCTGCAGTGAAAACACCGACCCTTTGCACTTTGTGTTACTGAAGAAATGGTCATTGTTGATGTCCAGCTAAAAGAGCATAAGGATTTAAACCTTCAAAATTCTGTCTGATTCTGGTATTTAGGAAAACTCGCTTCTTGGCAGGAAGCACTCAGTAATAAGGGCATCACATTGTGCGGTACGTTTCTTGGTGTACTCTAGAGCAAGACTAAAAACACTGCCCCTGCCTATTTGATGGAAGTTTGATTTAAATCTATTAAACTTCTCTAGGGTGTACACAGGAGTTTAATCCTGTAGTTCGTGGTGAGGGTGTATGTACCCAGTATTGCAGTGTTCCCTGTGCATGGAATAATTTGGCCTAAAATGTGCTCTCTAATTCTCAGGGGAGAGGCAAATGTAACAGAGGATTGTCTTACTACTCACTACTTGGACTTAACTGAGTTGCCCATTATTAGAAAGACATGAATAAAATTAATCTAAGTGTTGAAGGAATAAGAGCTGCAAGATAACGAATATTTATATCCCAAATTTGACATAGTATCATAAATCAATAATTTTTGAAGAGATTTAATTTTTCTTTCTGCCTAATTACTTGATCTGTGGTAACAGTTTGCTTAAATTTGTTTCTGTGGTAACTTGAGTAATTTTATGCTTCTCCCTTCTACAGAAAATTTAGTATTGATTTGCTGATTTCCTCTTTAAATGCAGACAAAAAATCCCCTGTTTGTTAACTTAAGAAACCAATAACATGGAATGAAAACATGCATTACATTGCATTGCCTGAGCTCTGTGGTTTGGTGACTTTGACATGTGCTGTCAATTATTAAAATACAAGTTTGTATTAAATGTATAATGTTTTCTTTTCCCTACCGTTCTGGTATTACACCTATATGAAAAATCAGGTTAAAGGGTAGTTAAGAGTTTGGTTAATTTAAGTGTGGAGCATATTATCAATTAAAAAATGTTATTTGAAAGATGACTTTGTAGTTGAAGCTGTTCTGTTACTTGAATTAACATTGCAAAATCAAATGTGGACCAAGTAAAAAGAAAGTCAGTTGATGTGTTTGTGCACCTTTGTGCTGGGTGTAAGTCATGAATGCTGCGTAAACGTGATATTCTTCTCCCATCTTTCATACACTGATTTTTATTATTTATGAAATACTTGCAGGGAAGAGACAGTGTCCTCTTGCTGCTCTTTCTTTGTGGTGTATCTATCCACACCACATACAGAACTTGGTCTAGACAACCCAGCTGATTTCTAAGCCTTGGAAACAGGATCCTATAGGGAGTTGTACAGGACAAACTGCTGTAAGTGGTGCTCTCAAAGTGTTCACTTTATATTACGTAATAATCATATTTCAGTTGGTGCCATGCGCTTGAATGTGACTGGTGTTTTAAAAGCTGTTGATGAGGGATGCTCTCCTAAGCCTGGGGAGCCTGCTGGAGCAGTCAGTGCCTGGCTGCCAACGCTGTGTGCTGACTCAGACAGAAACCCTTTTTCTTTCCAACTGTAGCTGACATAGGCATTTGCTGTTCTGCCTCAGCCACAGGGTTAGGTACAAGCCTAGCCAGATCGGTATCTCACTGCCATTGCAGTCTCTATGCAAAATCTGTGCTTAAAGACGTCTTAATTACTCTGGTCAAAATTCCCATTTATAAAAGGATAGAATTTTTCAGAGGGAGAACAATCCACAAGTCAGTCATCAACAAAGTGTTAAATGAAGAATGATGTGTGTCTCTTGCAGTCTTCACACCTACAAGAAGCTTTTCAGAGCCTGACTGTGCCATATTTCATCTAGCTACCTGCTTTATGTGTTTAGAATGAAAATGCACAAAGTCCCATTCCCCCCAGGAGATAAAGGGCTGTGTCACACCACACAGATGGGTCCTTTAGAGCCACGCAAACACTATCCAGTCCCTGGGCCTATTCCACTGGGGCTTGAACTGCTCTCTCACGGGTACGGCAGAAACACCCCCCCCCCTGCAAAACGGGCAGCTGCTCTGAGATCACTGGATCACAAGGTCACTGCGTGCAAATCTTATACCTCTGTGTGATGCTGCGGACCACTTGGGTCATTTCTACTGCCTGGCAATGCTGCTCCTGCTGAGAGAAGTCCGGCAGCCTGCCCTGCCTTGTGTGTCCCTGCAAGAGCTTTGAAACCAGCATGGGAGAGCGTCCAGCTTCTTTCACACTGACAGAGCCTGGTTCTTCCCTGCCTCTTCCCCAGCTGTGCAGCTTAGGCCCAAGCAGACTCTCTACAGAAAGGTTAAAAGTACTGCAGAAGCCAAGCCGAGGAAATAAATCAAAGCTGTGTTGAAAGGGCAGGGTTACAGGTGTTTGTCTGGATGGAAAGTTTCATACAGGATACCAAGATCATGCAGAAGGAATCTCATGACCTGGTTTCCAAGCCCTTGGGCCAATGGCTGCTTCTTCTCTGAAAACATACACAACATGTGATTTGGCAGTGGTCTTCATGTTGGGCATATGTGTGGTACACACCTACGCACAGGTAGGCTGTGGCACACTTGAGTTTTATGTGGAACAGCTGTTGAATTCTATGGGAATCACCTTTTGTGTTATTATCATTAATATTAGTGTTGTTTGATTCCTACTTGCATGATGGTTTTATATGGTTATTGTGTCAAGAAGCCACGGTCTGAGTTCCTTTTCATTTGTCTTGACCATTGTACACCTTTAAAAGAAAGACCATTCAGGCAGGATATATCGTATCCTACTTGAGCTCTCTGAAGGCTACATACCTAGTCTAAGCAAAGTGTATGTGCGCTCTCTGTTTCTCCCTCATCACTGGAGGTAGCCAGAGTGATTCATCAGGTATGTAAAAGAGTGAATCATCTAGCAATACTGTCTGTCTCTGTGGGTGATGGAGAGCGCCGGGATCATTAGCCTAGACTAGGCATTAACTTTAGGCTAAAGGGGCATGTTTTTCTTGCTCAGAGACAGGGAAGTGTGAATTTAATTTCCAATTAGCAGTATGTAGATGTGAATGAACATAAAAAGAGCCCGCAGCCTTGCATGTCTGCAAAAGCAGCTGTTACCCACAGACAGATCAATGTGCTGCAGATGCCTGAGCATACTGTACATGCCCAGGGCTCCTCTTTGCCACATCTCCAGTGAGAATCTCTTTCATGATGAGACACAGATAGAGGTTCCCTTTGCCTGACTCTGCAAGGGCATCTGTAACTTCTGGCAGGATGTATGTAGACAGAGTGGAAATATCTTAAAGTCTAGTAGAAGGTGGACTGAGTTAATCTGTCAGAAACCTCACTCCCGGTTTCCTCATGCCAGCAGCATATCTAGGTCAGTTAGAGGCTGGAGTTTCCTTTTCTGAAGTTGGGAAGACAAAAGTGTGCTGGTGAGAAGATGCTCTTCACTAAAAGTCTGTTCCCCTTTCTGCGGGACACATTAGCACTTCTTAGATCAGTGTTTTATTCATACAAGGCAAAGCAGGGACCACCTCAGAGTTAGAGACCTTTCATGTTGCTCGCACGGTGCAGGCAGGCCTTTGTTATAATGAGCACTGGAACATAATTCTTTACAGTTTATGGAAGATCTCTCTTTCTCTAGGAAAAAAAGAGCTGCTGTGAGTCTTATTCCACTGTGGTCAAGTTATTTCTAGTGCACAGTGTGAAAAACAAATCAGGAAGTTTTAGATACCATCTTCTGAAGAGAACAAAACTGGATTCAGTACAGCCGTGTGTAGACAGGTAAGGTCTAGCAACAACTGCAGTACACAGTTACTGTTCCAGTTGTTGCTCTTCATCATCTTCTTATACATATATAAATATGGTCTTAGATTATCTATTTTATCTAGCTCAGGCATGCTTCAGTTCCAGTCTTGGCATTCAAATCTAAGACTAATTCTGGAGATAATCTGAATTATTTCATAATTATAAGAAATCCTGGGGAGGTATCTCAGTGTTTACAGAGGAGTATCTCGCTGTATCACACTCCAGATTTATCAACCCAGCCAAATCTCCTTTTAGTATATTATAGTGTAATTACCTCCACATCTTGAGTCATAATCTGTTTCTCTGGGGCTGAAGCACGCGCGCGCGCACACACACACACACACACACACACACACGACAAAATGCGGAATGTAAAGAAGTAATTGTGATCTTTGCCACTTGGATTTGGTACCATCTGTTAACATGACTTCTGAAGTCAGTTTCAAATTTGTTTGTTGAGTTGGAGTTTGGTGCTGTGGATAATATTTCCCTTCATTGTGAAGCTGTCAGATGTAGCTCCCCTGAGAAAATCTCTCTGCCTGTCTGAGATCGGGGGCATAATTGTCTCCTGCTCAAAATTGCCTTCAAGGGCAAATGCTAATTGGACAGGGAACTAAAATGTCAACCAAGAGAAGCAGTTGCCATAAAGATGTTGATGGAGCTTCCCCAGATGTGTTGGAGGTGTCTGGGCTTCCCAAGCCACAGATCTTTCCTTGGCTCCTCTAGAATATTACTCCACCATTAATTTGGTCTGTTTACCCCTCTACCACAAGGGTTGATGTTTCTGATTTTTCATCTTTTTCCACTACCTCTGTCTTCCAATAACATAGTGTTGGAGGGACTTCAAGAGCTGATATATCCAGACCAGCCCAGGCTGTATGTAGCTGTTGAGTGTTTCGAGGGTGCCTCTCATGTTGGGACAACATCATGTACAAAGATCTCTGTGCTCACCAGGGCTGCTAGGTACTCTGGTCTCCTGGCTGTGGGTGGAAGTGAGCGAGATTGCTACATCAGCATCTCTGAGATGCCCGAACCATCTTGCTGTGGAGACATAGGGTCTGGTCAACCTCTCCTCCTTGCCAATTTCTCCTGGACTTCCCCCACCTCTCAGCTCACTGAGATAAGTGGTACGTATCTCATTGATCTCAGCAGTGTGAAGACTTTGATATGTGGTTTGTTAGATTGGTTACTCCAGGCAGTCTGTCTCTCTGTTCCAGTGTTACTCCTGGATCTGTTTTTACAGTCCTCCACTTCGAACCCTCTACAATTAACCTCTCCTGATGCTTCACGATCACCTTTTGGGGAGATTTTCCTTGTGTGTGCACTTTTCCACATGTCATTTACCATTTCTCTTGCTTTTCTTGTTATTCGCACTGGTGTGCAGTCATGGCACCACATACGACAACTCTCTGTCACTGCCATTGTTAACCAGCAGTCACATCGCAGTCATCTTGCCCTTACAAGCTGCAGAGGCTAATGGCATCAGGCTGTATTTATTCTTTCTGGTCCCATTTCCTTTCTTGGTCATGTGTTGATCAGTCAAGAACAGAAAGAGAAGCAAGAAGCAGTTAAATGAGATCAAAGTGTCTCTTTGGAAACCTGCACAGAGAGTAACCACCGTTCTCTTAGAACAGGAGCAAAAAATAGCAGCTTGTGTCACTTGGTGTGATAATGATTGCAATAAGAATGGGAAATAGTACACTTCCCTTGTGTTTTATGCAGCTTCAGGAGTAGATGAATGATAATTTTTGTTCCTTCTCCTCAGATTGAGGAGTGGATGACTAATGTCATTGTGACTGGTGCCATCTAATTGGCTCAAAAGAATTTTCTGGTTGTTCTCGTGATTAGCATCACTTCCCATCATGTGCAAGCCATTGGAGAGCAAAGATCTCCTTTTGAACTGTCATGGTATGAAGATATAAAAGTACTGAGCTCCTGAAGCAATTCAATGTATATGAAGTATGTATGAATCAGTATCCTGATCTTTCTGTGTAGCAAGTCATGATGACTGATCTATTTCTACAGTTGCTAATTATATTATGTTAAAAAATACTTGGTGTTGAAGTGATTTTTATGCAAAGTTGAAATTTAAGAAGGACTCACCAGGAAGGTAGAACTGAAATATTTTACTTTGAGTCAGTTTGATCCATTTCAAAACAGTTTGTTGAGCTGGATTGCTGCGTGTTGCTTAATACTAAGTCTGAGCCATCTGCCAGAACTGCTGTGGTATTTTTGGGACAGGTAGGATTGTATCCCGATTATTTCTTACAGCCACCCCACCTCTGCATTACCTAACCAAGGGTGTGTTGCAGTCTCCCTTCTTACCTACTGTAGTGCTGGATCATGGGAGAAAGCTTGGTCAGAGAACCTCGCTCTGGACGGATGAGACAAACTCATGTCCAACTGGATCAAACCAAAATACTTTGCTTTGGTTCAACTCATTGAAGTGAAATGTTTCAATTCATGAATACCAAACCACTTCATTTTTTCTTCAAAAGCATGGAAATAAAATATTTGGCACTTACTAATGTCAGATTTTGAAAGTAAGGTATGAATTTCTTAGGTGCTGTTGACAGGAGATCCTCCCTTCCACATAAGAGCTTATGTTCTTACACAGGCCTGCTGGGGAGAGGTGGAACTTAGGTGATGAAGAAATAGGAGTCCATCACATTGCACCATACACCAGCCTAGTGAAAAGAGGGCTTTATGCTCAGTTTGAAAGAGGCCAGTGCAAAAGTAACCTAGGTAAGTAAAAATTAAGGAACACATAGAAGAAAAACATTGGAAAGTTTAAAAGAGCAAATATTACAGTAGCACCTTTCGAAGGTTAAGAGGGCAATGTCAAGAAAACACAGGAAAAATGGAAAGGACCTGATGTTGTAGCATAGAATCAAATTAGATACTTAATAGACTTGTTATAAATTTGCTGGGATGAGCTGCAGGACTGGAGTACAGCTCCTGGAAGGACAGGCTTGGAGAGATGGAGAAGCATTATCCATGCTTGTTCTGAAGCTGTGGAATAAATGAGGGACAGACTTGTCTGGGTGAAGTCGGAAAGAAAGAACAGAGCCTCTTTGACAGGTGAGTGTAGTTTTCAGCCACCTCCCTGGAAGGAGTGAAAAGATGGTTTTGAGTGATTCTTGGAAGCACCAAGTCGCCAAGCCTCAGCGGCAACGGACGCTCAATCTGCATATTGCTTGGGAAGGCAGTAAGGCAAAAAAACCTCACTGTATCACCATCTTGGAGTATGTTGAGGCAAGGTAGAAGTTCTAAGAGAGTTATTTTATCTGAGTCTGACTAAAGAGAGCTTGTCTGTGCATAGAATCAGAATGGTTTGGGTTGGGAGGGACCGTTAAAGGTCGTCTGTCTGATCCAACCCCTGCCCCTGCCACGGGCAGGGACACCTTCAACTAGATCAGGTTGCTCAGAGCCCCGTCCAGCCTGACCTTGAGTGTTTCCAGGAACCTACAACCTCACCAGGCAACCTGTTCCTGTGTTTCACCACCCTCACTGTAAAAAATTTCCTCCTTATACCTAGTCTAAATCTACCCTCCTTTAATTTAAAACTGTTACCCCTTGTCCTAGTGCAACAGGCCCTACTAAAAAAATCTGTCCACATCTTTCTTATAAATCCCCTTTAAGTACGCTAAAGAAGGGAATGTTAATGAAGCTGAAAATATGACTTAATCAACTTAAAAAAAGAGATTTGGGTTCCTGGACAGATAGTGGACCAGACTATCAGACAATCTATACAGACCTGGATTGTAAAGTGTTTAAAAAATATAATTGCCAAGAGTAATTAATGTTAAACTAATGTAATTTCCCAGTTTAGAGGGCAGCTGACTAAGGAAAAAAAGTATGCAGTAGATATCATACAGATATTCTTCTGATCTTGCTATATCTCTTGATCTTGGCTTTCAACATTAACCCTCATTATATTCTCTACATTATCAGTCAAAATCTGGGTGATAAGACGTGGGTAATTTAACCCAGTCAAATTTGCCCAGTTGGACAAATACCCTAATGAGGTAAAGAGACAAGGCTCAAGCATTAAAAAAAATGTTCTAATTGCACGAGTAGTAAAATCATGGCACAGGTTACGTAGGGAGAAAGTAGAATCTTCTTGACTGAATTTTTGCAAGAACAAAGGGTGACAAATATTTTTCAGAGGTGGTCTAAATTATTTATCTGCCTTAGAGCAAGGAAAGTGATTAAATAATCCCCCCAGATGACCTGTAGGCATGGATTTTTAAACTTCTATTAAGTGGGCACTTCAGAACTTTTAAGATCCCTGTTTCTCAAGTGCAGTCAGGACAAGGATAAGCACTATGGAAAATTTCCTCAGGGCAGGTGTACATACAAGTACAGCTTTTGGGATATACTGTAAAGAATTATTCTTTGTCTGCTCTGCAGAGCTTTAGACAAAGATGCCCAACTTCCCAGGTTGAAATACTGCCCATCAGACCAGCATAAGCATTTCTGGAGGCTACAGCAGATTATCTGAAAATGTTTTTGCATTAACCTGATTTTATTAAACAGTTATGCTCCAATGATGAGAAACAAAGGAAGGGCATGTGATGGAACTGTGCAGTGTGAACAGCACAGATTGCTCATAGCAATCGAGTGGTTTTAATTGGGTAACAGATCATGAACTATATTTGTAAAGATTATTCAGCAGTTTCAAAAGCCAAAAATATTTAAGAAAACCATGCCCTTCTGGAGACATCTGGCAAACGGATAAAGAGCCAGAGTTAACAGATAAGTCATTGCTTCTATGTCCTTCCCCGAGATACCCCCACAAAACTCTTGCTGCCTTCAGCAGGTGGTGTGGTCAGACTGAAGGAGAGTGTGGTCTCTTGGCCTGGCTTTGTCTTGACTTTGATCTCACACTGATTTGTTGGTGATTTTAGGCAAGCAGAGAGGAAAGACTGCCTTAATCAAGAAGGTGCTTTAGCACTCTACTTTCTCCCTTTCCCTTTCTCATCCCGTCCCTCTCATCGCTTCTTCTGCTCCCCTTATGGCCAGGGACTTGCTGTCCCTTTCCTGGGTGATGACCACATGGCCAATCTCTCTGCAAAGCCCTGACTTGTGAGTGACAGCTGTAAAACTTCTTGCCTTTAACTCTCACCACTCCTTTCTCCCCAAGGACCTTGCCCTTGCTACAGGGTTGGCTGTTGCTTGTGAAGCAAGGGGTGATTTGTAAATTATAAAATTGCAGTGATTCTCTGTACTTTTATATTGAATTACAGAAGAACTGATTTAATTGACTGCATGGATTTGCAACCAGCAGTTCAGCAGCTGCTTCATGAGCCATCCTTGCAGGAGGGGAACCTCAGAGAGATGGGTGAGTTGGATGCTGAGAAATGGTAATCGGTCTAGTCATCCCAAGAGAAATCATCCTCATTTGTGAGTCAAAGCCTGCAGCCTCTTGCCTGAGATGAAGGGAATCTCCCAAGGACAGCTAATCTTGCACGGTCTCATCACTTGAGATCAAACATCATGATATCGGGTCAATAGATATTTCTAAAAGTACACGCAAACCTCATTCAAATTCACATTTAGCTCTAGCCAAAACACAACCCGAATCACGATCCAAATAACCTCCTCCTCAGCCCACCTTCATTGCCATTCTGTTTCAGTGGCAGATGCAGTACAGAAAAGATGCCTGAATGCTTAATTCAGAAATTTACTGTTTAAGGCATTACTTGTATGAACACCAGCGTAACACATAGAATACCAATGCCCTAAATTTAGTAGTTTTGTCTGAGTCATTTTCACTATGTGGGAGGGCTGTGAAGACACTCCAGAGAGTGGAGAAACTTGCTGGTGGTGTCTGTCCAATGAGATTTTTTTTTTTTTTTTTTTTTTTTTTTTAAAGTTAGAACACAACAGAACTACAGATATGTTTGTGAGTAAAATGCAGTTTTGTTGCAGACTTCAGGAAAGGGATGGTGTTGCTCTCCACCCACTTCAAAAGCTAAAGTCAAGTTTGACTGATATGTATCTCCGATACTGAAATGGGTACTGAACTTTTCATGACAGCAGCACGCAGACACAGGTAAACACTCTGGCTGCGTGATTTGAAGGGACATGATGTGGTGTAATCCCCAGATTTGTCTGTGCAATTACATTTTATTTTCAGATCTTCTAGCAATAGCAGCTGAGTTGTTACAATCCTACATGTTACCAACCAGCAGCCAAGAGCTATTCCTGGGTTTATTCACTGAGGGGTGAAATGTTGTCCCACTGAAAACCAGGTGACTTTTGCCACAGAAGTCATTCAGTAGGGCTGGGAATACACACGCAGTTTTTGAAATAGATGTGGGCACGAGTAATTAGGTGTGGATGTGAAGGAGGCTTTTAGACTTGGTGTTCTAAACTGGTAACGCCTTCCTGCCAGTCTGGATTTTATTCTTACTCCATTAGCCTCTCTGCTTGCATGCAGCTGATTTCAAGTTGATATGAATGGATTTAGCAATTCCATTTTGTTGATTTTTCCTGGGACCCTGTGAGATAAAACTGCCCCTCTCCTCAAATGAAAACCTAACGTCACTGCCTAACTTTAGTCAGAATTTATAATGTTTTTACTCTGAATAAAGTTAGTTCTAGCTCAACCCTTGCACTCTGGGTTTGGAGAAGACTTCATCAGGCAGAGATGAAGCATGTTTTCATGTACTGTATGCTGTCTGATATCGGCAGATATCTAAACATGCCAGGATTTGATCCTGTGGCCCTGATTCTCACGAGTAGGGCCACTGAGTTCAGGCCTCTGCTCACACGAACTGGAGGATCAGTTGTAATGTGTTTAATGCCAGTGAGGTGAACTCTGTTCCTAGAGAAACTCCAGTAAAATCAAAAGCTTGTTAATAGAAAAAACTAATTGGCTGTTATCATAAATGAAGCAAAATGCCAAACAAACTCCTGGTCTGCTATTTGTTCCCATGCAGGCATTTAGCTGCCAGGAAAGACCAGTCTTATAAACATGAAATTATATCCATGGTAAAATGCAAGGTGTGTTTAACTTTGCAGCTTGTTAAAAGGTACATTTTTTTTAAAAAAAATGTGTATTTTACTGCTGAGAAGAGCAATTATGACTTTTAAGTCAGCTATTTTAACTCAGCCTGGGAGTTGTTGACCGGTGAAGGTAAGGGCCAGAGGCACAGCTCCTTCCTCAGAACACTTGTTGTTGCTAGACATTTCCCAGAAGGAATTATTGCTTAAATACAGCTTGTTTTCTTTATCCAGATTCCTTTAACTAGAAAAATGTGACAGGTTTTGATACCGGACTGCAGCGAAGTCCCAGCTGTGCTATTCTACTGTTCTACCCTTCATGAGTGAGCAGTGATGGGGCTGTGCAGCTGTTAAGCACGTGCCGGTTTTGGGTAAGTACTGGATTCACGGAGCCTGCGTTGTGGTGTAGTATCCTGGGATTATAAACACTCTGCTCAGGTGCTGTTTCATGAGTCCTGCATCATGCTCGAAAGCAGACGCTGCTTACAGAGTGGGAGAGCAGCTGGAGTAGGGAGTAGACTGAATTAGTGTCTGGGCTGGAAAAACGTATTGGGAAAAGTAACTGAAAAGATCCCAGCTTGGAGCAAAAGCTGAAGCTGAAAACTGCAGATGGTTTTCTTGTATGTATGATAATGTCAAACCCAAAAAAAGGGAGTTTTCGCACTCTGTTGTCTGTTTAGTGCAAAGTGAAAATTATGTACTGGAAAATGAAGCCCCATGTCTGGAGAAAACAGCTATGACTGTGCCTATACAATACCGTACAGGGCCCTCTGGAAGTTGGGCTTGACTGCTTTTGCGGATGTCTCTGAAGCCTTCTGTCTCTTTGCCATGGAGTGGAGGGAGGGAAAAAGAGCAATGGGATGTCACCTCACTTTTGATGTATTAGCACCTGCATGGTAATGCCACTCTGAGTGAACTGTGCGAGGAATGACTTCTAAAAACCAGAAAATTCATCTCTAGGGACAGCAGAACAGCCCATGGTGGATGTGAGGGAAGCGCCAGAAGTCACAGTGGGCTACAGCTGGATCCCACAAACTGTGGTGGAAAAGAAGAGGGTGTTCTGGTAGCTACTGTCTTGTGTGTGTCTTGAAGTGAAGGGGCTGGTGGATGCAGTCGCCTGGGTGTCTGGCTCTGACAGGACAGCAGCATCTTTGAAGAATATACATATTTTTGCTGTCTTCCCTTAGATGTCCTTTAGGGAGGTGAGACAAAGATGATACAGGGTGTACTTTGTGTAGAACTTCAAGAACACATGTACTGGCATGTACCTCTCTTCACAGAAAAGTAGAAATAGTTTATCAGCACAACCTGTCCCCTCACTTGGGTAAATCCCTACTTTACTAACAGTCAGCCTTGTATAGGAGAGACTCAGACCTATCTCTCTGGCCAGACAAGGAGGGTTGGGTTGTGCTATGCCTTTTCCACTTTTGTGAAGTGGACAGACTGTCTTCCAAGCAGGGTGTACGATTTGACACTGCAAGACCCAGCAATGCCTGAGTTACTGGAGGTACTGTGTTCAGGCTGGGGAGGATGAAGGTTGTCTGAGATGCCTTGCCACTAAGTTTCTCACTGGTGCAAGGAGAGAGAAATGAAGCACCAGGCAGTATCAGAATAACATCCTAGGGGCCTGAATCCACAAGTAACTTTTTACAGTGAGAGTTGTCTGTTCCATCATCTTTGAAATACTTCAGATGCCTGAAGTGAGAGCCTAGGAGCCTGAAGTACCTAATTTTGCAAAGAAAATGGTCTTTCTTTATGGGAAGTTTCCTGAAAGGACTTTAGTGGTCATTCTGTAATGAACTTTGGATTCTACCTTGGGTGGTGGGGTCCATGGTGGGATAGGCATAGCTCAATCTGTAGAGGGGTCAATGCAAGGCATATGTGCTGTATCAGCCCTGTGGGTGCTTGGCCTTTGCTCTGGATCTTAGATCTAGTCATGCAAGTCTTCTACTTTTTCAGGATGATAGTATCTTCAGACTTGTCTGCTGGGTTCTTCCTGCTTTCATGCTGAAGGGGTGTGTGGGAGAAAGTGGCCAGGCATGTTGATAGTGCAGCGACCTTTTACTGATGGAGGCACACTGGTGGTGCGTGCTGGCAACACACTTCAGCAGTAGATGCATCTATTTTGGCAAAGCTGTGCCTCCAACTGATTCATCTTATGGAAGCAGAAGGAAAGAAACAATACTTGGAAAAGTCTAGGTTGGAGGGTGGTGTTGTATGTGTAACAGATATGCTAGTGGGCACCCAAAGTGGGGGTCCAGTGTTAGCCATGGGTTTTAGCCCTTCACATTCTATTGTGTATAACCATGCCAGCAAAATTCAGTTGTGTGCATGTAGCTGGGATGTCTTCTGCCACTTTCATTTCTGCTATGGGAAGTCTCATTAAAAAGGTCCTTGAGCACTGGCTGGGAGAACTGTGGCACCCATGTGGACACACTGGGAATCACAGACCCCATTACCTCAAGGACTTTCTGTAACCTTAGCAGACCTCAAGAGAAGACCTACAGCACTTGGGTCCTGACCTCAGACTAATGCCTCTGTCAGGTGTCTGTGAGGGGAATTTGATAGAATTTTCCTTATTCCACCATTAAGTGCCCACTGGTGGGTTGTTCTGTTGACAAGACTACAGGACCCACTGAAAGGCTATTTTTCCATGAGGTTAACTTCAGCTTACTGGTGACAGCTATGGTGGGTGGTGATTGAACCAAGAGTGTCAAAGCCAACATCTAAAATGACCTTTATGCTGTTTACTCAAAGCAGTAACAGACTCGCCCCCGACTTCCTGATAGGGGCCATCACTTATCAAGAAATAAGAAGAGCAAGTGGCTAGATATGGAAATCATTGTGGGAGTGAGCCTAATTGAAAACATACAACATCGTACAGAGGCAATATTAATACACTGGTAACCTTTACCTCTTCTGTGGAATATGTATGTAGAAACTAAGCCAGGAGAATTACTGGAAATTGGGGAAAAAGAAATATATATTAAAAGCCCCTTCTAAAACAAATAGAAAACCTTTTCTTGGGCAGGCAGATGTGTATGTCCCTAAGGCTGTGCCACATGCCCCGTGATTCTTTTTCCTAGCTGTGCAGTCAAGTGTCAGAAATCAGTGATTTTCATCTCACTTGCATGAAACTTTTTTAGAAAAGGAGTCTAAAGTAAACTAAGGGATTAAGTAGACACTAAAAATTCAGTAAGCTTTTAATTTGGTAGCTAGATATGCAGAAAGCTAAGAATCAAGTAGAAGCCAATGAGACTGGTCTCCACCCTAATTTAGAAAGCTAAATTAAGTCCTTACTTTAAAAAAAGTTTCTACATAATCATAAGACAATCAAATAGATACTTTAATACATGCTTTAAATATAATACACGCTTTAAATATACTTTTAAAAGTGCTTGGAATTTTAATGGATTTACCTCAATAAACTATATTGTAGCATTTCACCATCTCAAGCTAAACTTGTTTTTAGCTAATGTTTACCTGGTTTTGTTCCAGAGGTTGTTTTTCTTTTAATTATTTTTTCTGTTTATTTGAATTAGAATAACAGCACCATCTAATCCCACTTTTGTATTTGCTATAAAATGTCTAGACTGGCTAACATGAAGGTTTTCATCCTGGAAGGTTTTAGTAAGATGCTTCTCCACTTGGTATATACGTCACATAAGTAAGTACTGAAACTGAAAGTTTCAGATGCGAAACAACACCTAGTAATAAACTGTTTCTACTTTTTTTTTTTTTTAAAAGGAAAAGAAACACCATCTTTTGGCAGTGTTTCCTCCCAAACCATCAGAGACTTGCTGATCTGCCATGTAGATCTGTGCTTGTGGTTGCAAAATATCAAAACAGAACTAAGGATTTTTATATCTACTCTTCCCACCCAGCACTCACAGCTCCTTCCCTCTTCCTTGTCTGTCGGGTAGTTTCTGAAGGTGTTGAGGAGACAGGAAAGGAAGGGACACAGAACTGACCGTTGGACAGATAAATGGACACATATGCCAACAGCTAAGCCTCGTTTCTTCAGGAATGTAGCCTGAATATGCCTTAGTAATTAGAATGGATTGGGAATATTTTATTTCTCATGGAAAACTTCAGATTTTTTGAGGGGTGGGGGGGAAGATAGAAGTAACTGGTTTCCATGTCAGATTCAAGAACTTGCAAATCTTCAGAGCAAATGACCCCTTCTCTTCCTTAAACTCAGGGCTTTTCAAATATGAGTGATGGTTTCCCCTTGTCTTCTGATGTTGTGATACAATGTGGGAACATCTTGCAAAGATGCACACTGGACATGGAGTCCGGTTGCAGCAAATGGTTCATGAAGGATAATGACATCCAAGGCGTAACTCCAGTAAGTCACTGGGATGTTCAATTTCTTCTCAAATTTTAGAAATTTCTTTGCAATTTTCTATGCAAAGCAGGCACTTGGAGTGAAAAAGGTCATTTTGATAAAAATCCAACTTTTCACTAAAATCAGTTCTTTTCAGCACACTGTCCCAAAATCTGTTATGTTCACAGTGTTCCAGAACAGCCTTGCCATCTGTCAGAAGCATTTTTAGGTAACAAATTATTCAATTTGTTGTGTCTTCGCCACACCAGTTGTGCGTGTGTTTGAAGTTCCTCGGGATAGATAAGCCTCTGAGGCTCCCCAGTGCCTGCAGGAATCCCCAGATGCTCAAGGGGGAACCCCTAGAGCCGGGAAGCAGAAATATTCTGAGGACATGGGTGTTTCTGAAGCACCAGCCATCTCCTGGGTAGAGATGTCCTTACCTACTAGTGCAGAAAGCAAGTGTGTTCCAGCAGGGAGGCAGCGCTGTTTCAGAGAGGAGCGTATGTCTTGCTCTCCCTTTAAAATGGATCCTCTTTTGCATATTGTGTGTTCTGGTAGGAGGTGGGAGGTCACACTCAGACTCTTCCTGACAAGATCCAAATTCATATTATCCACCCCCTGTTACTGCCTAAAACATATGAAAAGTCCTCAGATAAAGGATTCATCTCTTCTAGCCGCGTGTCCTAATCACTAGGCTGAAGATTCAGCCCTTTTAGGATCAAAGCCTGAATTTTGGTTGCACGATTTCAGTAGGATAAGAGGGGAGTCCCCTATCCAAAGCCCTGTGGTTAAGACACTTTCTGAGGAGGTGAGAGACATGGGTTTGCACTGATAATACGTATCTTCTGCTTCCTTTCATGAGCGTTAATTACTAGACTGTGATATGAGAAGCAGACAGTGTTGCCACTATCAAATCAGTTACTCAGCCTGGGTTTTAAAAGAAAGTGGCCACAGCCAAGTTTGAGAGCCCAGCCAGCCCTGGGTCAGTGTGCTCATAGCCGTACTGCCTCCAGCGTGGGAGACAGCCAGGCCTTCTGGGTCCAG